AAATCACAAATTAAGCAGTATCTGTTAAATGAAAGCTGTGTGCTAGCCATATACTTGTAAATTAGAAGCTGAAACATAAGCACCTGACTCTATACTACAATTTATATTTTAACAATTACCCAAATATTCCTATTTCAATGTTATGATATCAGAATGGACATTGAGAATTATATTGCAAGCTATGTCTATTGTTAAGATTTCAAAATACAATGTATTATCACTTGGACAAAAAACTAAGTCTGGGGAAGTAGCCTAATATTCAACAGGCTAAAATTACATGCCTGCTAATACAAATATTTACCTAAGAATCAAGAGCCCAAGTTTGGTCAATTTAATCCTTCTCTTTTTAGTCAAATATACCAAATATAAGGAGGAAGAAAGTTTTTTTTTAAAAAAGGGGGACGAGGAGAGGAAAATGTACAGAAGGACACCTAGAGATGGTTGATGCTTGGCAATGAAAGTCATTTTCAAAGACCATTAACTATCCTCTGCTTTACTTGGGCTCTGATTAAAAAAGAAAATTCACCCTATGTTAAAAGGGGATGTCTATTTTTGTGGGATAAAGCTTTGCAGGAAAATGTATTGTACAAACGAGCTGTACAGAATCAAATCACAATTAGACATCTGATTTAAAAGAAATTCTGTATACATGGCTTTTAAATTGTTAATAAATATTCAAATGAATAAATATTCAAGAAGTCAGACAAAATCATCATTTTCAGTTGAAAATATAGATCTCACAAACTGAGACTGTGCCTTTCTTTATGAATTGAAAGAACTAAAAGACTATTAGAAGAAATATTCATCTGAGTGTTTTAGAAGTCTTTTAAATGGATTACAATAACATATTTCTTACATTTTATTTATCATTTCTCTGAATAGTACTAGATTTTATATTAATAAGAAAGTTTATACTCTTGTCCTATCTCTGGTGAGCAGATGCTCTAGTATTAATGTAAATCACTAGTTTAATTTTTAGTTTCCTGGTTTGCCCCTCACCTATCTAGGAAATGATTTCTCTGGTGATAACTAACACATCATGCTAATGAGCGAATCTAATGCACAATAGAAAAATGTCACTACTAATAATATTTGTATGAAGTTAAATAAAGCAACTGTAAGAGAATGTCAGACAGTTGTTCTTTAATAAGACACAGTTTCACAATGAAATTATGTTGTTAATTTTGTTACATCATTGGGTGAATCCTAAATTACTACATAATGATACTCAGTCATTTATAATTCTAACTTAGTATTTCACTCAGTCTGAAAGAGACCTTATTAAGGGATCTGCATTTTATTTGAAACATGCTATACATCTTACCAATAATAAAAGATAAATGCCTGTAGTAATATGTGAAATGTACCTGTACAGTTTCATTTCTGGAAAGATTTTAAAGTAGATAAGACTATACCATCCCTCGAGGTAGCTGTAAGAATTTGATCCGGTAGCCTCTCAAATATAAAAAACAGGTACAAAAATAGAAAACCTACCTTTTAAAAGTCTAATTTTTTTAACTTGAAAAACAGACCTTATTTTTGCTTTTAACAATATTGAGCCTAAAATAAGGTTGTGTCTGGGCTATAGGATGAGCAGAAAAGAGGGAAAGGTTTTCGGTCATTCTTGAGATCACTGATCAAACTGGCCCCAGAACTTCCTTCACAGAAGTCAATTGTTAAGCTTTTCATGATCCTTTTTGAGAAAAATAATACTTTAATGTGGAAGGAAACAAATGTTAAGTAGAGAGGAAAATAACGTCAAATAGTTGTATCCTCAAACTTTTAGAGGAACATAATTAATTCTTCCAACTCAAAATTGACTTTGGATTCTGAGCTTTTTTCGATAGTATTAGAACACAAGATTTACATTTAAGGAAATCCAACTTTGCTCAAATGAAATAAAAGAAAAAAGATTTTTATCTCCCACTTCCTAGTTTACCATAGAAGACATAAGACTAGATTATTAAATTTTAGAATTCACAACAAATTCCCCACCAAGAATTTTTCTGTTTACTGCTAGTAAACTCTCTAGGATTGAGTCCTTAAACATTTTATAGTAGCTCTACTAATCAGTCTTTTCTAATGTTTAAAGAAATGATCATAGAATTACTAATATTTATACTATTAAATAAAAATTTGGAAAAAATGTGCCCAATAAATTCCATTCATTTCATAAGCTAAATGCATTTTTACTTACAAATTAAAATATCCATCTAGAAAAATGTCTTTGCCTTAGAAATGAGACACACAGAATTCTGCATGCTTGATTAAACTTAACAAACTTTTACATTTAAAAAGCTGTCTCAATATGGGTATTGAACCTAATAATTGTCAAAATTAATGACTGAGAGATCATTTTGAGGCATCTTTCTCACAACACTTTCTCTCACCCTCACTCTCTGTCTCAACAGCATTGATAATAATTTGTAAGGAAAACAAAAATATTAAACATGTATACTATATAGGCTTAGAGTTAAACACAGTTTGAATTTATGTTTACACAATATTTATACAAACTATTGAAGGAAAACACATACACATACAAACTCACTCTCTTTTATGTGCTTTCCAAAAATGCACAGAAGGTAAATATTTAGTAACTATGAGAGGAAAACAAGGATTGTTAACTACATCAAAAACCCTCCAAAAAGAAACCACATTAATAATATACTTCAATCACAATACTTCTTTAAATTTTGGTTTCTCTCCCTTTTTTGTAGTATCATACTTAGTAAATAGTATAATTAATATTATGTAGTTTTATAGGGGATCCTTAGCACAAATTACTTCGCAATATAAAGTTACTGATTAAACATTCATTCATACAGGTACACACAAAATACATCTTTATTCCTCCACAGTAGAACAGGATGTTTCTAAGACATTGTGTTAGCTTAGTTGTACAAGTTTTTCTATGAGAAATCTAAAATCATTTTTTAAATTCAGACCCATCATTTATATAATTTAGTTTTTATTTTTTTTAGCTAAAATGCTTTCCATGACTTAAAGACGCCTTACATTCAAATCTACTTGGAAATGGGCTAGTGCCAAAGAAGCAATCTAACACCATCTATGTGGTTCAATAGCCATTTATCAATTGATCATTATCTCTATCTGGTTTTATTAACTCTTTTCTAGCTAGAGGGAGACCTAAACCAATCTTCTCTCCCAATACACACACACACACACACACACACACACACACACACACACACACAGGATCTCCACAAACTCAAGGTAAACCTTAAGGTGACACCTAATTTTAAAAGTGTAGCACCAAGTTATTTGGTTCTAAGGTTAGTGAAAACATACTCTGTGTTCCAACCACAAGAGAGCCACCCAGGCAGGGATGTGATGCATAAAAATATCGCCCAAAGCATTCTGCAATGACAAGGGGCATTTCTGTAAGGAAATGAACTTTTCACTTGCAAGAATGGAAATTGTAGGTAAAGAGAGTTGCTTATTGGGTGTATGTTGATTGCATTTAAATCCCAGCTTACTGTATCAGCAGTAATCAGGGTCCCTCTACAGGATGTCAACATACACCTTATTCAGATACATTTACCCCAGCTAGAACTGTGTGGTTAAACTGTTTGCCAGCTAAATGCTACAAAACCCTGACTGTATGCACTATCTTTGGCAAATATATTTTTAAACTTATGGCCGTCCATAGCCTGGCAAATCGTTTCTTTCCTTCATTATCAACAATTTAAAATAATTTGGCTCAAAGTATGTAATATCTGTTACCTTCTACATACAAAGAAAAACATTTAAGCACTTGCAGCGATTTTTAAAAAAAAATAAGTGGAACGGTATCAATTTCTTAGCCATCAGCATCTACTTAAAATCAAGTGTATTTGTCAGGGCTGCGTGGATGATAAACTCTTGCTTTGTGTGGGTTTGGTGCAGGCTTTTTGAAAAGCAAGACTTGTCTAGGAGGGAGGCACCGGGGGAACTTCCCTCCCTTACTTGAGCACAGTCCAAGACAAAAGTTTCTGGGTTGTTTCCCCTTCGCTTCCTCTTACCCTCGCTCCCCCGCGGAGCCGCAGAGCCAGCAATTGTGCAAGAGGAGCCGGGAGCGCAGGGTGCGTATCAAGGAGCGCATGGTACAAGCTGCTGGCCTGGTGATTAATTATCAGTTCCCGCTGGCCTCACTCTCACATGTCGGCTCTCAGGCAGAGCTGCACGCCGAGCTGCCTTCAGCCCAGCCTGGATAGAGGAGCGGCCCTGTAGGACACCGCGGCTGTGCCGGAGTGTGAGTGCGCTGGCGGGCGGGCTGGCGGGCGGGCAGCGGCGGGCGGTCCGGTAAGCAGCCGGGTCCGGAGATGCGCAGCGCGGCGTGGCGCTGCACAGTGCGGAGAGCGCTGGGGCGCTGGGCCAGGCAGGGCCGAGCTGGCCACAGAGCCTGGACTGCGCCGTGCCGCCCCATTCGCCCGCCACGCGCTCCATCTCCTCCGCGACCCTCCGCGGTGACCAGGACGCGCCGGCAAAGAAGCCTACACAGCCTCCTCTTTTCCCCATCTGGTCTTGAAACCAAGCAGTTTCCAGCCACAAGAAGTCAGTCGGGCTGCAGAAGGACACCCAGATTTTATGACTTTGGTTGCTGAACCTTCTTCCGAGACAACAGACACTTTGATTAAGTGCTTTATAAAGAGATAAAGATGTATTCTCTGGGTAATGACTTTCTTTTTTTTAACAGAAAACAAAAGAAACAAAATTAAGTCTTCGCATGATCCAGGCTACGAAACTTTGCAACAAATACCTTTGCCTTCCTCTTACTTAAGTATCCTTTCCCCCTTGTTCTTCTTAGGAGCCCTTAGGGGAACCATGAAGTAACCCTACGCATTCCAGAAACACAGTTATAACAAAAATCGAGCCAAACTGTGAAATGACCACATTAGGAAAAAAAATTAGAAAGCAAAATACGAGAAACAAAAGTACACATAACAATTCGAGGTTTCTTTTTTCAGGAAAAAAAAAAAAGAAAGAAAGAAACTTACCTGTTGGGACATTCTGAATAAGAGGTTAGTATCAGCGTTTTGCCATGTCCCCATGAACCCTGGTTCAGCCGTAGTCGTTCTGGTTCCGAACTGCATGGAGTTGTCAGTACACGAGTCTCTTAAAGTCAAGTCTCTTGCCCTCTTTGGCTCTCTGTCTCTCTGTGTCTCTCTTTCTCTCACATCCACTTCTGCCTCTTCTGACTGAAAAGTGAAGGTGGATTTTTGAGCCTCTTGGCAGCCAGTAGCAGGAGTGTAGTGTAGTTAAGAAGCTGGCTGAACTGTGCATTTCATTTGGGAAGGGAAGAGATTTGGGGGAAGGAGGGGGGGTCAGAGCTTCCTTTGCACCTTCTGCACAGATATCCCTATCATTTATGCATAGATTGTGACTCCCCAAGCTTGCCTTTGCTCAGTTTAACAGCTGCCTGTCAGGTGTGCAGGCAGCACTGGAGACCCAACCATCAGCTTCAAACCCTCACCACTGCATGTCATTGGATAGCAGAGCTAAGAGTCAACTGCACTGTTCCACTGTCAGGCACCAAATGACACCCTGCGCTAACCCCTCTCCAGATACAGACAGAAAGACACTTATGCACACTTCAAATAGTGCAACAATCACCAGAGTCCATAGAGCAAGGGGAAGCTAGTGTCCTTCCTTCCCTGGAAATGTGTCCCAACCAGAGCGTATAGTATGCAATATCTGACTCCAGCTTTTAATGTTTATAAAACTGTAACATTTAATTTTAAAAAACTGTGCCGGAAGAAAACAAAATATTCAGCTGGAAGAGAATGTAAAGTTGGTTCAGTTGTCTAAATGTTAGCTGCTAAAAGTCATATAGCATGTGCTGGACTATTTATAACCACACATAAACTCACAGAAAAAAAACAATATACATAGACTTGACCTAGCAGTTGAACATAGAAGATGTACAATAAACATTTGCAAAATAAATATATACTACTTAATATCTAGTACCTCAGGCCATTAATTACTGAACTAGAGGTTAAGTAATGATAAACTGAATAGCAAAGGGGGGAAAAGACCTTTTAAAGCTCAATAGAACAACATCCTTTGTTAAAGTTCTTAGATAAAACATCTACAATATCCTTTCAGGTCATAAAAAAGAAAAAGATGAAGAAAAATGCCTATCCTATTTCAGTCAAAAATAAATACATAAGCACCATTTTTTCATTTAAGATCTCTATAGAAAATTCTACAACATTCTTCTGTTTGATGAAATACGGCCTTAATAGCAGGTGATATTTTTAATTAAACCAGGTTAAAAACAAAGCATCTATTTATTAGATAGTATTTATCTACCTTATTTATGGCAAAGCAGAACTGAACAAAATGCACTGTACATAAACACTGAAACTTCAAAAGGGAAAGCTAAATTCATGCCATCTCATAAAAGTAGTCAGCAGGAAAAAGCCATCCTTCCTAAACTTAAAATGTAAGATACATTAATCTTCAACCACCTACAAATATTGAGGACAAATGTACCACTCTCCTTACTCCTTCTTAACTAAAGAATAACAATAAACCTTACTCTCAGAAACAACAAAAGAAACAGAAAAGAGCTTCAATGGCAGCTCTGTGTCATTAGTGGACAATGAGAAAAGATGAGAAAACGTACACTATGTTGACACAAATGTGCCTTCCCCTCTAGAACCGACATCTCCTGAAAGCTTTTCTGTTAAACTTCCCTCTAGTTCACCACCATTAAGCACAAAAAAGTCTCAAAAGAAGCAAATTCAATATCTAAGAGGAAACAAACAAGAACCCAAAGAATTGTTGCCTTAAAATATATTAAGTCCACCTGTGGTCAATAAAAATATTCTTGGGGGGGGGAGGGCAGGAAAAGCCCCTATGAGTCAATTGTCAACTGTGACTGTACCTTTACTGCTAGCTATTACCCACTTAAACTCCCTCTAAAATTTGCTAGCCTCTTGATTTCTGAAGTGGCACTCAGTGCCTCAGTCAAGCTGCCTGCTCAGCTCCTGACCTTCCCACTAATGGCTGTTATTTGTGGGAGGCTTAAGGACACTGTCAATAGCAAGCTTCCTCCTAGCTCCACTCAAGCTCTGTTGTATCCCTTTTGCCTGCGTATTCTCTCGCCCCCCTTCTTTCCCCACCTTTCTCCCTCTTCTCTTTTACTCCCTCTTCCGCTTTTTACACACACACACACACACACACACACACACACACTGCTCCCCCCCTTTTTTTCTTTCAGTCCTACAGTCCTCTCTTCTTTCCCAGGTATCCTACCCTCTCTCCTCAACACACACACTAACAATACAAAAATCAACTGGCATGCAGCAGCAAGCACCTGCAGTAATAGACTCTTTTATTAAAACTGTTATTCTGCAAGACTTGAAATTCCCTGTGGACCGGGCCATGTCAAAGCCGATATAATTAACTAGAGGCTCAGCAACGGATCAATTACCAGACAAGCAAGTGATAGTGAAATCAATGAAAGATCATCAGCCACATTATCAGTGTTGCAACTCATTAGGGCAAAACTGAGAAATGTGCTCAAAGCGAGCCCAAGCAAGGTGGCATTACAAAACAAAGGGCTAATTTGGAGACCCTGCTGTGAACAATCTGTAACAGAATTAGCCTTTTTCCCCCTAAACTGCACAGCTCCATAACTAAATGTGACAGACTGAGAGAAGCAGTTTATTAAGACACCAACCCCAAGTTTATTTAGTTCATAAACTCTCTCCTAGAAAATCAATACAGTCTGTACAGGGTTATTAGGCTGACTAGCTAATACATCCAAATCTGGTCTGCCCAGCCAGCAGTCTTCTGACAAAATGCTACCCAGAATAGGCAAACTGAGTTCTCAGATAGCAAGGTCTAGCCTAACAGGTCTACAATGCAACTATTACCTAGATTTTATTGCCACAGCCACACCTTAAAAATATGAGTTAAAAATTTCTCACAACAAATACACCATAGTGCACCTGATAAGCGGATTTGGTCAAACAAAATCTTAGCTAGTCCCTTAACAATATTTTACAGGAAAGACAAGCTTTGTTACAATAAGAAATATCTCAAAGTATTACATACTATGCTTTGCAGATTTTAAGTTCCTGACTCATCTTTAATAACTTTTAAATGCAAATTTGTATATTCCAAAAATATACACAAACTGAATTTGACACTCACTTCCATGTAGACTGTGAAGTATGGAATCCCAGAACATAGGATAATTCTCTAATAAGCAAGAGACTTGTATTAAGGACATAAATCTCCCCTTCAAAAAACTATAAGGCCTTCCTTTTGAGAGTTTTCCCTTTGTCTCTATATGGATTTTGAAATAACTCTAGAAAAATCTGTAATAAAGTTATTTAAAACTAAGACGACTAGGATGAACATCACGTTCGCAGTAATTGCTTTTCCTCACATTTCCTGATATGAGAGAAGGACCATGTAAATTAAGGAGCAACCAACTGGGTCTGATGGCATCCCAGTTTTTTTAAGACATTATAGGAATGTAAAAAAATACCTCCCAACCATTGCAACACACAGCCAAAACACAAAGTAAGAATCTCAAATGCATTTTACAATGGCAAGATAGATTGGAGGACTGAAGGGGACAAACAGTAACAGCTTTTGGAAATGATTTCTGATGTTTATGTTTTCATGTTTAAAATGTTCCAAGAAAAGGATTGCACTACTTAAAATGACTTCACTACAATGTACTGGATTTAAGACACTAAATACTAAACTTTAAAAAGAAAAACACTTTTATTTTAACAAGACTTTAATAAAATCCAACTTATAAGACCACTGTAATTAGAACATTTTTTTCCTGCAATTTTTGAGCTGCACCTATCTTAATGTTAATGTTATGCGTTCAGCCATCTTAAAAAGTCAGATGTACACATTATAAACCTGCACTGTATGTTAACGTTTTAGATAGTAATTAAAAGTTGTAATTACAGAAAACTTTTACTTTTTAAACCATTTTTGCATATAACTATAACTACACACTGCGTGTACCCTCAATGAGATCCAATTAGTTACAAAGAATTTGCATTTCAGTTAGTGTGGGATAACAAGACTATAGGGAGGCAGTGCAATTCCACCAACAGAGTAAGAAAGTATGTTCTTTCTTGTTAGCTCAATAAGCAATAATTCCCACAACTGACTGCTTAAAGTGTTACTTACTCTTTTCAACAATTTGATATAGAGGTGGGTTTGAGTTCTATCCTGCTATTTTCTAAAAATATTAAAACAAACTCACATAATGAAACAAAAATTGGCCACAGTGCCAGAAGAAGGGAATGAAAGAATTCTGCTTTGCTTATGTTTTATGGGATGTTTGTTTTTTCACAGGAGAAAATTTTGCATATCTTTTTTTAATACTTCATTTCTTTACAAACTCATTACTATTGTAAAATAAGTTCTGGACCTAGGAGTGGAAAAGCTTCCCTGAGATACTGTTACATAAATACACAGGGCTTTGTGGTAGAGGCATACATGTACTATACTGAGAAAGTATGTACTTGAAGGTTTTAGACTTTTTTTCTGTGTTTCTAGCACTATAAATCCTGAGCAAATATAAAATACGTGTATAGTTTGTATACATAATTAAAGAAGCATCTCTAGGACTCTGCTGGTTTACAGAACAATACCTGTAATTCCCTGGGTTCAGTTCAGCAGCTGTTAACAGATTCTGTAATCTGTAATGACAGTAAACTGGCCTTTGCTCTTCTTTTATTCACTATTCATTTTCACGGCTTGGTTAAGTACAGAGCTGGGTTAAAGATCAGTGGTTTTTCATGTGACATACACTGGTATTCATTTAATGGCTTGTCAAGACAAAACTGTCCCTGTTCTTGCCAAAATAATAAAAATGACGCTCCACACCGCATGACAATCAGCACTTCCGTATGGTGAAACAACTCAAGCTTTTGTAACTCACTTATTTTACAGAAAAAAAAAAATGTTGAATGGCTATCCAGTCTTAAATGTTAAATCAGACTATCTAGTCTTATATGTTGAATCAGGAAAATTTCAATAATGTTTTTCCTACTCTGAGCAACATATAAACTAGTTTCTAATCTAGACAAACTTTACAATATGAAAATAATGTTGAAGCTCAAATTCCTAATGCATTAAGGTATATAACTTAATATATAGAAATTATGCAGAAGCAGGAGACTAGAACCAGTCACAGAGGTGGGGCAAGAAATTGAGGAAATGTCATTTTTCTTGAGAACTAAGTATAGGACTTGCTTTGCAACATCTGTTGGGCTGTATGAAATGTTAACAGATGTCTTAAGTTTAAAAAAAAGAATTAATAAAGGAAACCTCCTCTGAACAGATAATCCATCCCAAATTTCCATATTCCTCAGGAAAATAAGTTGAGAGCTGACTTTTTCCCTTGTGCAAACTACCATCCCCACATTATTGTATAAAGTTTCACTGTCTATGTGAACTTAAGGGGAAAAATGATTGAATCACTATAAAAATAGAAAAAGTAAAACTAACAATAATTTAAAATTCAGAGGTTCCCTTTGTGACTAATTATATCATAATCTAACCTGCTTGTTTTTCCTTAACTCACAAATATAATTTGATGAGAGGACAGTAAGACATTCATCTCTCTTAAAAATCACACACACAACACACACAGATTATTCTACTATTCCTGCATGTTTTGCGGGAAAGGAATAAAGAGAGATTAAAAAGTAGTTTTAAGTTATAGTTCTGATAAGAATTATCATCTTTACTCATGAAGGTAGTAATCTTCACATTTAAGATTCACTTAACATTTATATCTACATCCTTGCTTCCCAATTGGATCCTTATTTCTTTCCATTACTATCTTTGTTAGGGACAAACTCTCATCTTTTAATAGGCAAATGTTCCCAAACAATCACATCTCATGATTGTGAAAACTTCTGGAGTGCAAGTTGGAACTCTCTACTCAAATTTTAAGGAAATTGGAAAACTTAACTTACTTATTTAACAACTTCTTCTTTGTGTTTCAATTTACTAGATGATCTAAACCTAAATGATGCAAATATGACTCAGATTTTTAAAAATGATGCATGCATGCCACTATTGAACCTACCACCTTCACGTGTAGATGTACTAAACTTTGAACCTATATTTTACTATAAAGCCTTCCTCTTTGTCTACATTTCCTGAAAACATAGGACATGAATTTGGGTTAGCAGTTCATGCATTGACTAATTCAAAATGCATTTAAGAATCTTCATGGGACCAAAGAAGGAAAGAAAAAAATGTGCTGTCATCTAAGACTGCCAGTCTCAATCACAGGCCTTTCTCTCCTCTATGAGACTTAGAATTGCACATGTTTCTATTTACAACGACTTGTCAGCTATCTCTGGCAGCCTGTGTTGGGCATTTCAACATATAGAAGCCTCCGCCAGAAGAACTCAAAGAGTGCAGAGGACAAGATCACGGTCCAAATTGTAAATAAGATATACATACATGCCATCAGTTTTTAGTCAGTTTTCTTCCAAACTATTTGGAGCCTAAATAGTTACAGGAACAACCCATCAGTATAAATAACAATAACTATTCTACAAAAAATAATATTAGAGACTAGCACCAAGTGAGAAGCACAATATACTAAAAACATCATTTTATGTGACCAACAGAGTAATACACACAAGCCCGGAAATTTAAGAGTTAGATAGGGCACAGTATTGAATCAGTGGCGGAGACCTCCCCCAGAAGTAAATATTACCTAAAACTTTACTTTTCTATAGCAAAAGGAAAAACTGCTTCAAATGACACTTGTCTCTACACAAGCTAGAATAATCAGTGTGATGCACCATCTGCTGACAGCCTAATAAGGGGCTCAGTTTCATAGAAACACTTCAAAGAAATATCCAAATGCCATAATCATTTGATATACTACACAAATAAGAAAATGAAAAGATTTTGGTAGGGTATAGTAGACAAGGTAGTTTACAAACTGTTAGGGAAAGGATGAATGCCTGGGAATAAAGATTCACAGATAGAAAAGCATATGAGATCAGCATGAATCTTGTGTACAAGAGCTCAAACATTCTACCTACCCTGTTTTAGTGTGAAAATAAAAAATGACTTTAATCTTTTCCCAGGTGCAAACAGTGACAATGGCTTCTTTATAACCTATGGTCACTGGTGTGTGTGTGTGTGTGTGTGTGTGTGTGCGCGCGTGTGTGCGTGCGTGCATATGTGCGTGTGTATGTGTGTGTAGAAAACCTAGAAGAAAAGAATCAGTGATGTCTCTCCTTAAATGAATATGAGAAAAACAGGCAGGGGTGTGGAGATGCACTGGGGAATTACTTTCATGTGGCCACGAAAGTTGTAGGATTGTAAAGATAATATTAATTTTTTATTTAGTCCCTTCTAAAGACTGTGGAATGAGAAGCTGGCAGCCCCAGTAAAAATATCATAATAATAGTTTAGCTTACTGTCAGAAAGGAAGATTGAGATTCAGACACCCAAGGAAATCATGTTGTAGGGCAGTGCTCAATACCTTACACAATTATCTGAAAATGCAACTCTGCCTTTAGAGTTATCACAGGGGGGAAAAAAAGAAAAGCAACACAAAGATAATATTCTCTTATATGCGATTTCAAGCCTAAAAAGTACATAAAAAGAGAAATGAAATGCCAGTATAAAAATTTAAGTCTTTATAAAAAGGCTTTATAAAAAATACATATATACATGTATTTATATATGTCTGATTTAAAGAGAAAAATGTTGAAACAAAGCAAATTTGATTCTACTTGAAGATTGCTTCTAAACTTAAGATATCTAGAAAATGGGAGAAATCCACTGACAATAAGTTAAAAATGGGGACAAATGGCTAAGAGTATTTGAGTAGTCACTACCTCTGGTGCAGAAGAATGGCTGAGAAAGTATGTAAGGGAAGCATGTGATATGTAGGCAATGCTTCTTATCTCTATTTAGCTGGTGATTCTGGATTACATTCACCTTTTCAGAATTCATCAGTCAATATGCTTACAATTTATATGTATGTTACACTCCAGTTCTAAAAGTTTACTACTAAGATGAACAATACTACCAAAAATATTAATAGTAATCACTCAGTCCTCCTACCACATGACAAAAAAAATAAAGATGATAAAGGAAGAAACATGCATAAGGCCCTAGATTTGATCCTCAGCACCAATAAACAAACAAATTAATGGAATGGACAAAAGAATAAAGTTTATCACAAAGGCAACCAAATAAATGTTACTAAAAACTACAGCTTAAAACAATTTCTTCATAGGCAAGAAGCAGTAGGAAGCAATACATATCTGAGTTTCAGAGCATGAGGATGAACATTGAAGATAGTCCAAGAGTAGAAGAAAGAATAATTAGTAGAGAAAGACCTCATCTAGGCTGCCAAAGAATGTGAGCATAGCCAAATGACTTAAATGGAAAAGAATAACATACCTCAAGTTGAGACGGATCAACCCCATAACATGGGACCTTGAAATGTGCTTGCCAGTCTTGTTCACTAAGCCTGCCCTCTGATTTGTAATTAAGCCGATTTGGAGGTGGGGTGGGCACAAAGCGTGCCTGTTGAGAGATTGAGAAAGGAAATTACATATATTCTGCAGACAACATGACTTAGAAGCACCAAATACATCAAAACACATTTTTAAGTGCAAATATGACATACTTCTCTGACCACCCAAACACTTTTTTTAAAACAGAGTTAATAATTCCTGAGGCTGACAGCAACTAATAGTTAAATAAATAAACCCCAGAGAAAATAGAAGTAACAAAGTGGGAATAACTGAATCATTTACTGATTGAAAATGGATATGGTAATACTTATGCCCTAATTAACTCAATTTCTTTTTCTTTTCTTTTCTCTCCCCTGACCCCCAACACTGGGTTTGAGTCATGGACCTCATGCATGCTAGCCAAGCAGTTTATCATCCAGCAATACCTCTAGCCCATTCAAGTTCTTTTTTTTTTTTTTGGTTGTGTTGGGTGGGGGAGGGTGTTGTAATATTTGAACACAGGCCTCACACATGCCAAACACATGCTTTACATGTGCTATACCCCCAGCTGTTTGTGCAACTTATTTCCTTTTCTTCCAATTATTATAGTCACCTTAAAAATTAAACATTTTTACTCAATATTACAAAATGTTTTTGCCAAGTATAAAAAGATATGTGGAACACAAAAATTAAGATACAGTCCCTGATCATAAGAAATTTATATTCTAATATAGAGAAGCTTAGCACTGCACACACACGCACACAGACACATACACACCTATGAAAACATAACATGAACGACATGGAGTGACTTGTACCTGGACTCCCCGCACTTGAGAAGCTAAAGCACAAGGATCATAAGTTTGAGGCCAGGTTGGGCTACAATAGTGTGATATTATCTCTAATTAAAATTTTAAATGGAAACACATAAGTTGAGGGTATGAACAGGGGTGGAAAAGATGGGAGAGAAACTGTTTTGTTGAACTTTGTACACTACTTAATGATAATAATAAAAATAAATAAACTTAACAAATGTGATAAGAGTAACAGTAGAATTCTATATGACTTAAAAAAATTCCTTCTAGCTTGGTAATAGGAAACTTCTTTGCAGAATTAACATTTGTTCTGGGCACAGAAGAACTGTTAATATTCCTAGAAAAGTGATCCAGTTTGACTATAAAATAGTATGTTATATGTAGAGTAATAATAAAATGAAAGGATGCATGGTCAATAGTAATTATTATAATGTCAAGGATCTCATAGTTCATTGGAAAGAGTTGGAGTTTTTCCTTTTACTCACTAGCAGTCAAAAGTTGAAGAGATTCTCATGATTATTTTTTATTCTCTAAAATGTTCCACAATAAAAAAATGTAAAAAACGAAATGTACTCATTACCTTGCTCATGTAATTGTAACCCCTCTGTAAGGTGCTTTCACAAAAAAAATTTTTTTAAAGACAAAAAAATGATTTATCTGTCACGCTATGACAGACTGAAGTGTGAAAACAAAGATGTGAAGAAATCAATTAAGAAACTCCTATAAAAACTAAGTATCATGACTACTGGCAAATGGGCTGGCTAAAAAAAACAAGACACAAAGATACTCTGAGAATAAAATTAAGGAAACAGTAGTACTAGTAGGATGTAGATAACAAGTGAGAAGAGTGAATGTGACACTAGATCTCTGACAGAGCAACAAAAAATAGCACAATCAACAGAAATAAAAACAAGTTTGGGGATTATACAACAAGCTTACTTTGGAGTAACTGTAGATCATGCAGCTAATTAGGTAATTAGAAATGCTCAGAAAACAGATCAATACTGGAGTTATCAGATTTTTATCCATCTGTACAGATATGACTTAAGAGGTGAGAAAACATGGCCAAAGTGAACACCTTAGAGAAAACAACTATGGTACTGAGAGACAGACAGGAGACATCTGTGGTGTTAAGAGGCCGACTGTCTAATGTTCTGAATGACAAGACAGATTTTACAAGAGGTAGGATGGCTGAGAGTTTAAAATGTTCTAATATATAATATTATAATTGGCATGTAATAAAGTGTAGTGGTAGTAGAGTACATACAATAAGAACAAACAAAAATTCACGGAGATGATAAACACCAAACTCAAACAATGCTTGAGAAATAATAGGGGACTTGGCAGAGGCTGGTACAATATAATTTGAGAAGTAACACAGTATAGTTCAGATGTGTTTGGATAGCAGTAATTCTTAAGTTTAGGTAAATAGGTATTCAGGAGAGAGACGGACAGACAGAGAGGGAGAGAGGGAGAGAGAGAGAAATGGAGAAAGAGACCTATAAAATAGGTCATCCTATAAAATAGGATGACCTATTTTATAATGAATTTTGGGTGAGAATTGTCTTGGTAGATAGATGGATATATAGAATCTATATTACACAAGAACTAAGACAAAAGGGAGGGGGAAAAAGGTGAATACTTTTGAGAAATTCCATAAAGAGAACAAGGAATGTGCTGTAAAAAGTTAGCAGGGCCTAGAAAAAATTTTAAGTGAGTTGACAGTTTGTTTCTCCCTACAAGAGAAAAAAGAAAAAAGGAGGAAAAACATACTCTATCATAAGCAAAGGGGATGAAATCAGCAGAGAAAAAGATATTGAAGATGTAAGCCAGAGGGAAAATGGTATAAAAGGGTCCTAAGAGAGACTATGATCATGAACACAAATGAAAAGTGGCCCTAAAGGGAGAAAAGGTTATTTTTTTTCCTTCACAAAACAAAGAGAGAGATTAGAAAAAGCTGTGGGTTAAAAAATACACATATTAAGAGTGCTTACGTAAGAAAGCCAGGTTAACTTCCCACCTCTCTCACTAAAGTATTCTCTGGTTAAAAATGGATCAAGTTTACTATCCTTGGTAACTTAGGGCCTAACAAATGCTTACCACCTAGTAAGTGCTCAATAAATAACAGCTTTAGAAAAGAGACTATCATTCCAAAAGGTAAAAGATACGGCTACCTTATAAGGAAGATACCATAGAACAAAATCAAAGACTATTACAGAGGAGAAAAAACAACAACAGCACAAGTCCATTTGAACAGGTTTAAATAAAGCTCAGAAACAATGAGGAATGAATAAAAGAAATGGCAAATACCAGAATGGACACAGCATTGGTATCTAAAATCACATAAGAAGTCACAAGCAAGTCAATTAGATTCAATGCATTGTATTTTCAGCGTTTCCAGTTTGGGAACTGGAATACTTAGAACCAGCAAAGAGTTCTTAATGCACTTGCTGCAAAACATATACCCTAAAAGGCAATGATACATTATAAAACCATTGTAATTTATACAACATCTCCATAAGAAAGCATCCTTAGAGGAAAATTTTAACACTGAGAATTGATTTAACATTATCTGATTTTTATTTAATCATACTCCAAATGTAGTGCTTATTAGGCAGATTTTTAAATGCTTGTGAACCATTCCTAAGGAAAATTCCTGAAAACAAAAAAAAGGAAATACTTTATACTATGTCACATATGTGGCTTCAATGAAGAAGTATGAGGAAGAATATCACTTCATTAACAATATGAGACAAACTGAGGAAATTTAAGTTCCTCTTCTTACTGCTGACTCCTTTCTCCAAGAATGTAACTGTAACCAAGTCATACCAGCTCCCTGCCCAGTTTGTGCATGCTGCATTAGTAGAATTCAGTACTTTTATTCCAGAATTCCTCTAGAGAACAGGGAAACGGGGTTTCATCACCTGGTCAACATCAGCAGCTGCCATAGAGTCACGTCAGGGATAGGACATAAACAAAGACATTCATCCACTGCACTGGCAACCACTACAGCTTGCCTTCCTAACAGAGTCCTTCTGTGAGAGCCACTGCCTAAGTGACCTGTCACACTGCTTTATAAAGTAGCATTAATACTGTGGGCCAAAATGAGATTGATCTTTGAGCTCCGTGGTCTAGTGTTGTCAACAGTGCATTATAAAACCAATACTAAATACTTTATAAACAGGTCTCCCTACAGTGTATTAGAAAAACAGTGCATATTTCATGCTCCATAGTTAGGTAGCCACATATCCATCAGACTAATAAATTATTTATTAGGTACTCAAAAGTGCAATAAGAGTCAATAAACTAACTTCAGGATACTTAGAAGCTAGTATTTCACTAGGAAATTGCACCTGAATGAGAAAACTATCTCACTAACTGGGTGGGGGATGTGTGGAAACATACTTTCTCAAATACACTTTTAGAAAGAAGTACACACCTCATAAAGGAGAAGTACAAAAATCCTTGTGTCCCACAAACAGTCCTGCTTACTGAACTTACAAAGAAAGCACCATCTAGCCAGGCGCCGGTGGTTCACACCTGTAATCCTAGTTACTCAGGAAGCTGAGATCTGAGGATCACAGTTCAAAGCTAGCCTGGGCAGAAAAGTCCGTGAGACTCTTATTTTCAATTAACCACTAGAAAACCGGAAGTGGTGCTGTATCTCAAGTGTTAGAGCGCTCGACTTGAGCTGAAGAGTGCAGAGCGCCCAAGCCCAGAGTTCAAGCCCCACGACCAATCAAAAAAAGAAAGAAAGAAAGAAAGCACCATCCAACCCTATACTAATTTCCTTTCTCTTGGGTATAATATCCTCTAATTCCACCAAGAGACAGCATAAAGAAATGAAATTTGGTAGGAATATTTCTAACACACTGACTCAAGCCAGATGACAACTACCACTAATGCTTTATATTCAACGTCTTCAAAGAAAATACAGAATGGCTTGAATGTATAAGCTCTCTGCTACATGCCCAACATGGAATTTTTAATATGCATGAACATAAGGTTTGGAGAATTATTTTTTGTTGCTGTTGCTACTTTTTGTTAAAGCTCCTGAACTTGTGTACAACCTATGAGATAGTCCCTGGTGTCCAGTCCAACATCATCAAGGCATCTTATTCCTCGTTCTACCCCTCTAAAAGAGGACCTTCTGTTCTGGAATGTATTCCAGGCCTTCAAGGACTACTTTCTTCAGCTGGGAGTTATTTCTCAAACTATCAGAGGCGTGGACCTTTGTGTAGTATTGTGGGTGCCA